TTTTTTTTTTTTTTTTTTTTTTTTTTTTTTTTTGGTAATGACTGACTAATTTAATTCCGGTTATTCTTCTAGTTTTGAAATGCTTATTATCTATTACAATATCATTTAGTTCTTCTAACAACAACAACAAAAAAAAATCACCACAAATATTTGTCGGCTACAAAATTCTCCTTTTTTTGCCTTTAATAAGAACATTTGTTACCTGAAATCATTCAGTATATAATGTGCCATTTCTTTGTTTCACTTTGACTTTATTTAATATTTAAATGATTTGTTCGATAACTTTAAAATATAGATCGTTTACCAGATATTGTTACTATCGGTTTCTGTTTAACTTTGCTATTACTCTTGTCATCTTTTAAACATATTTAGGTGGTTTTGTTTCGCTATGGAAGCTGTTGAAATAAAGCAGTTATGCAAAGAGTCAATGGTACATTCTCGTCTTGGTAAAGATGAAGTGGCAATCCAGGATGGCAAAGATTTCTACAAACAGTAAGCAAAAACAAAAAAAAATTTGTTGCAGCAACAATTCTGTAAACTTTAATCTGTATAGCTCTGTCAACCTTCAGTATTCTAATTTTTAGTTGGATTATTTTATTTATTTTTATTTTTTTGTTTTTAGTCAATTGTATACAACCAATTTCAAATAAATAAAAACAAATAAATTAATGGTGTAGAAAAAAATGAATTATTAGTACTTAGATGCTCATGTTTTTGTTGAGGTTACTGAGAATTAAGTGACTTTACCGAGTCGTCAAAACATTTCAACAACTTCCATCTTACTCTGTTTTTTTTTTTTCGACTATAGACAACAATTTTACAGCATGTTTGGAAACCACCCAGCGCTAAGAAAGTATTTCAAAGGTGCCGAAAACTATAGTCCTGAAGACGTACAAAAAAGTGACCGTTTTGCCAAACAAGGTATTCAAATTTTTCTTTTGAGACTTGACTCATTAGCTTGTTCTACTACTGTTTACCAAATAAATTAGCTTTACTAAACAAAAATAATTCTTAAATTATTTCTGTAACAATTTTTATAGGAAACGCATTAGCATAAAACTGGTAAACAGATAAAAGTGAAGGTAAAACGAGAAACAATTATACAGCAGTTTAGAACCGAGTACCCGGCTTAAGCTATTTTTTTCATTTGCAGGATTAAGTAATATTTTGCTTGCACGCTATAAATGTTCTAATTTTACGAAGAAAAAAAAATGTAGAGATGTCAGAAAAAAAGTAGAAAGATGTAAGAACAGCTTTAAAGTTTTCGGTTAGTAACCATAAATGTTCAATTGCTACGCTTCAAGTGCTTGAGTTTTTGAAAAAAGAAACTCTACAAATCAAAGCATTCATAAAAATTACTCATCCAAACAGATACGTTTGCTTTCGTAGCATTCTTTTTTTATGTGCTTAAATGCAAATATTTTCTTTTCAATTTTTTAAAAGTTTAACTGAACGAACAAAAGGTTTGCATTATTACCAAAGAATTACGACAATTATTGCTTAGTGATTGTTTTATTATTGCATTTTGAACGATCTCTTGTTATATAGGTTTTTTTGCTAAGAGATGAATTTTAATGGCGATACATAATGGTTATATACTAACAGATAGAAATGCCAAGAGTTGTGATCTCAGCAAATAAAGTATTACTTTAAAGGTCAACGCATCTTACTGGCATGTCATATCCTGGCCGATACATATGACGATAAAGCAACTTTCAAAGCGTATGCACGAGAAACTGTAAATCGACATCGACAGTACAAGATGGAACCAGTTTTATGGAGGGTAATATTTGATCAGAATTCGTTCATATTTAATTTTTATTGAGCACTGAAACATTGCTAAACCAACAGTTTTTAACAATTTCGCATACTGCTTCTGCAACTGTTCATCTATTTTAAGGCATTCTTTGACGTCTTCATAAACTATTTGAAAACAAAGACAACTGTTAGTACGAAGATGGAAGATGCATGGAAACAACTAGGCGATGATTTTGCTGCTGAATGTTTAAGTCATCTGGAAGATCTTGGACTACCGCATTAAACGTTGATCGTCGTAACTGGCAACTTGACGCTTAATCATATACTGTCTAGCGTTTGTTAACCATTGATTTGACTGCATGTTTTTCAACTGTTGCCAATTATCATTCTCTTAGTTTTTTAATTATATATCTTTAAATCATTTTAATATGTAGAAAAAGACAAGAAAAAAAAATAATTTTGGTATAAATTGAGTAATAAGTCATACTTCATTTAACGTTTCTCCAATGCCTTTGCTTGCCATTTATTACTTCCAATTAAAGATTTGATTCTGTTCAAACAGTGAAAATCTGTATTCTGTACTTTTTATCTGAAGGCCTGTTATTGTGACTTCTGTAAATTATATTCCATATAGCTTGGAGAAAAAAATACTGTGTAGATTGTTCTTTTTTAAGTTGAAAAATTATCTGAAATAAAGCATTTCTTTTTCTACAGTTACTGTTTTCAGCTGTAAAACCAATTCTGACTTTTTGTAATTTTGGCACTCTGTCATCGAGATAAAGTTGACAATGACAGAGACTAATTGTTCATGGTCGTCAATCTTTTGAATATGATTATTAGTGTAGAGGTGATGGTCGATTATAATCATTAAAGACAGGATGAGATTTTTGCAATTTTATGATTGCCAATCTTCAGAAACACATTTTATACCGTCGAAAAATCTACTTACTTTTCTGTCACTTAAAGTTGACAATAAGATCTTTTGTTGTCGTTGTTAGAGATAATAAACTGAATAAACGAGAGAAATACTTTTTTTCAAACATGAAGAAAAAAGAACAAACAAATAAATTAAAAAAAAATTTATATGAGATATGGTAAAATATTATTTTTGTTTTTTGAGAGCTTAATTTTTTTTTTTTTTTGCTGTTTACTTATAATAAAAGTCTTTTAGATCCTACAAAGATGATATGCTGCTGCTATTCAAAATTTATAGATAAATTTTATTTCACTAAATCTGAAGATCATGTTTAGAAAAAGAAAAAAATCAGATTTATCAGTGATTTCAGTGATGCGAAACAAAAGGAGAAAAAAGCGAAAATGAAAAATGAAAAGAAATGGTCAATGAATTTTATAGAAGCATTTAGTTTAGTTGTTATTTACACATATATTTTCTTTTCTTGTTTTTAAATGTTTTTTTTTTGTTTCTGAATATTTTTAAGGATATTTTTTGGCAGAAAACAACGTTGAATTAAAACAGTGTTTTTTTGATGATTATTAAGCTTGAGCTTTCTTGAAGACTAATGGCTAAAACTGCAAAATTTATACTGGAATGTTACTCCTATTTTTCTTTTGTTTCTGGTTGAAACCTCTAATCAACAGTTTCTGTAATTTATAGAAAACTTGAAATAACCCAGTACAACTTAGCTTTGTATCTGTATTCTATTCTTGATGAACAACTTTTTGGACCACTAATCGTCACGTTTGCTTTTCTGTTTCAGTTCATCTGTATGATAAATTTTTTGTAGTCGACAGAAATAGCTGTATAACCAAATAGCTTCTAAAATCGCCGTATTATTAAAACTCGAATTAGTTTTTGATTAAAAAACAATAAAAATTTTTGTGGAATCGTTATCTACGGTTCTGGGCCAGTCACCAAAATGCGCTGAAAACTGAGGACACCCATAACGTTAATTTATTCATAAATTTTTTTTTCTGGCGAAATGGGGGAAAAGGTTAAGCATATAAACTTTGAACCGTTATATAATCATCAAATTTTTAGTTAGCTATATCACTCACACTTTATATAATTAGAAAAATATTTTATTCTTTTTTTGACTAACATTTATTGAGAAAAAAATACTGATGCTGATGTAAATTCGTATTTCTGCTTAAAACTAATGATAATCAAACCGTCTATAAATCAAAACATTCTGATATGCAAAGACAAACATAAATTTCTTAAAATGACGTTGACTTTTATCTAATTAAATTTATCTTTATTTTTTTGGTTTCTAAAAGCTATTTGTATTTCTGAGAATTATTGTATTCTCAAATCTGAAACTTTATGCTCAAACAACTTTTTTTTTTTGATTACTCATTAGTATCTGCTATGCAAAACATTTTCTTT